AATATATCTTCATTTAAATGGAAAAAAGATTTGTCAAGTTTGATCCAGATGAAGTCTTCTGAACTACTGTGTAAATGTTTGACACCTTTTTTATATTGATTTTTATATAAAATGGGCCTAATATACTAATGTTGTATTTATTTAATTGTAAGAACGAGTTTACTTCCTGGAATGGCTACGATGTACCACGGATCTTGAAGTCAAGTAGGAGATTGAGGCAGTAAGCGAGGAAGAACTTTTACCATCTTTAGCAACATTAGTATACATTAGTATGTTATGACATCAGAAGCCAGTATCACACAAAATGATATCAGAGGTAGAAAATGAACTGAGAGAGGCAAATATCAAGAAATGTCATCATTCATGCTGCTTTCTGACAATAACATTGAGGGACAATAAATATTGTTATTTTGTGCTGTTTGCAACTACTACTCATCTTCCATGGAATCAGTGGAATCATCTGGTTGTGGTACTACTCTACATGATGAAGGTTTAATGACACTGCTGCAAACTTAAAAATATTCATCCAGAATAGTCATGACAATTTCAAAATCTTTTTGTTCCGAAAACTATGTAGCTGGATACACATCCATGTAGATGTAGCTCATCCACTTAATTTGAAGTAAAGTAAATTGATCACAATCCTCATTGATTACTAACAAAATAAATAAATAAATATAAATACTTCTTGATGACTAGTTTTATCTCCATCATATATCCCCCCCGTGTCTTTCATACTAGAAAATAATCTCCCCCTCCATTCAAAATTCGAATAATTTTTCAAACCTTTGATATTTTAGGAAACTTCACCTAAAATGACACTCCCAGGCAATGCATGACAGGGCAGCACACTACCAGTACATGTACTTCTACTAGTAGACATCCTTGAAGTTTAATGAATTTGAGAAATACCGTCGTTTGTGTGAGAAATTATATACCCTTCAGATTCAAAATCTTCAGATAATACACTTTCCTGGGAATTCAACATGCTTGTCTCAGAAACATGGTCTAACAGCGAAAAGAACGCACTTTCATCTGTTGCTTTGTTCTAGTGGCAGCCATTGTTTCGAGCTATAAATAGTTGCATATATTCTCGTGAACCAAGTACAGTGAACAAATATTATAGCATTGTCAATATCGGTGAATTTTATGACATCATTGCCACAGATTAATCGCGATAATGTACTGCATTATTGAGCATCAAGGCCCCGTACCATGCATAGGAATAGAATGTTGAGTTTGAAAACAAATAAAGAGACAGGAATTTAATAATAAGGGAAATTATGAGGTAAAACGATTAAAATCAAAACTGAAAATAACTCTGAGCTATATGAAAATAATTATTTCTTCTTAGTTTACATGAAAAATATCATTCCCGCCATAACGACAAACACAAATTGTCGATTGGCCAATCCTAACTTCGCGAGACGTCCAATGCGTAAATAAACGTAGCTCACCAAAAGCAAACACGGTGGCCCGTTTTATCGATGTCAACGAATCCCAGTTAAATGTGCTCGAAAATGCAAGAAATTAAAAAAATACTTCACAGCAGACTAAATGGGGAGTATGTGTTAAGTCGTTGAGGTCGCTGACGTGCTGCGGGAATTTTACGCATCAGCTCGCCATCTTCAATCCATCTACACATCACTGGTCTCCCTGATCATCGCAGAATTAACATGCAGGATAGGGAGTTCTAAGTTTATCTATTTTTTGTATACTAGTATGTGTTATGTTGAAATGACCGCTGTACACTGTATTGTGCTTGTGCGGGTGAATGGGAATCGTCGCGTGAACATGTTGACATTATATACAGTATACAGATTACAAGGCCCATATAATGTAGATGCGATTGTGTTGAATGTTTTTGGTCGTTTCTTCCAAATTATCTTAGTTTCAACGTGTGAAAATTTACTGCCATTGCCAATGCAACAAAATAATAACAATAATGTACTCCCTGGTGGCTCTTAATGAACCCAGTTGTATTGAATTGGATTAGCAGTTCTTGAGATATCAATAGTTAACGCCACATACCGGTATACATGCATCTCAAAACTTAGTGAAGTGAAAAAATAATTTCTTCAGGGTAATAGATAACAGATACAAATTTGGTCAATATTGCTCAAAAACATATTATCCTGCCAGCTCTATCCAGTTTACATTTACTTGACAAGAAAAGATTTAAGGAATTGTTTCTTCAAATTTTCTAAAGTACTGAATACTACCTATGATGGTAACCAGTCTGATAAGTAAAATACCACACCCCAGTTAAGAATGTCATAGCTTAACATAGTTTCTCAATTTAACAGGCAGAATTTCTTTTACAAGTCATCTTTTTTTGAAAACATTTAAAATGTGAAATGACTTCAAAATTGTTAGTGATCACTCATTTTGCAAGACAAATACAACATTAGAAAATATGAGAAAAAACAAACCATGCATGGCACAGTTCCGGTTAGGTTATCAAATTTAAGATATATAGTTTTGTATATAGTAATATAGCTGGAATATAAACATGTCAGGAATATGATTATGATGATTGTTTAACATTAAAATGATTTACATTTGTATCTCATCATCAAACGAGTATCGAGAGATATTGCTCTGGAACAGCATTACCGTAATTAAAACAAAATCTACCATCTCATGTATACTGAGATATGGCTCTAGAAGCCAATTCATTAAAAAAAAATGAAAAATTCGGCCATTTTTAATAGGATCGTCAAACCAATATGTCTGTATATCTTTGACATGATGTATAATGAATATTTAAAATTTGAACATAATCAGTGAAAGAAAGTCAGAGATATGCAACTAGAACCACAATCATTAAAACAAAATGGCCGCCAGTCGGCCATTTTGAATCTTATTTGAAAAAGAAAATGATGTGCATCAAGGTCCTATAATGTCCAACACATGTACCAAGTTTGAACAAAATCCATCTGTGAACAGCCAAGAAATGCTTGATTTTGATGATTTTTTTAGCACAAAAATGACTACCATGTGACCATCTTTAATCAGATCGTGAAATAAATTGTATGTATAATATCATGCATGATGTATGTGTGAAGTTTGATTGTGATTGGTCCAGGCATTTCTAAGATACAGGTCCGGACGCACACACGGAAGCACATACGCACGGACACACAGAGGTCAAAACATAAGTCCCTGTTTTCGGACAGCATTCGAACAGGGACTAAAAATCATTTTAATTGGCCATAATTCAAATCTTAAATACAGATCAGTATCTGCTAAAATAAACAAAAATATCAGAAACAAAAATAAAATGCAGTCTTAAAAGTTAATGAGACTCTCTGGCTAATCATTAATGTTCAAATCTTATTCTCCAATTATAACTAAAAAACACATAAATTATTGTTCTGCCATCTTCTTGTATTTTCCCCTCATTTCCTTAGGTAATGGTATAACTCCAGGGCATGGTATTTGTCCTGGGACTTCACATATGCACTTCCTAAGGCATCCTTCTCCAAAGTTTGCTGGGTTATCACTCTTAGCTCGTACTCTTTCTTCAGCTGCCAAAGTTTCACTGTATAAATTAAGCAAAAAAAAAAAATAATTATCATTATTATACTTCTGATACATGTATAAAAAAAAATGCAATTTAGCAGAACAGCCGCTTTGCTGCGATCTATTGAAAGTAAGCCTCAAAGACCTGTTGGATTCGTTTTTTTTTTTATTTTTAATCTTATGTTATTAATATTTTTATTGGGTAAATAAATAAATATTATTAGTGTTAAAATGATTTTGTTCCAGTGTTCAAAATTCACATCAAATTCAAGTCATGTTTGAGCTCTCTACTTTGTTCACATTTGCCAAATAAATGATATAGCAGTTGATAGAAATATAATAACATAAATGGTATTATAACAAACATAATAAGGTTATCTTGTGGTTACATTTTAAATTTGATTTATAATAATTTACAATGTAAACTAGAAATACTGCAACAAGTATTGTGACAATAGATTAAGGTAGCGGGACTATTATTTGCATACTTGTTTTCATCTTCTAATTGTAACTAAATGACTACAAATAGACCCGGGAAAGTATATATTTTTAGAATCTCCAGACTTCAAGCTTTTCACAAGAGTATTTTGCATGCCGGTATCTGCATTCTATGACACGTTACTCAATCAAAGGTGAAAAATTCCTTTTTCTGTAAAAAGAATAATTACGCATTTATGCTGGCGATAAGGAGTTTTTTTTTCACTTTTCCTAGTTGTTCAATAGTCTGGTAAATTGAATGTGTCTGGTCAGTTTTATTCAAGCAACACGTTTTTTAAAAAATAGTGTGCTGAATTTCAATTACTGTTTTAGTCGCATTGCCCCCAATTCAAACCACAACTCGTTGGTAAATAATCGATGAAATAGTTTGTCTGGACACATTCAAGTTCCTCTCACTGTCACCTTAAAGCTGTGAAAATTTGGTGTTAATCCGACGACAATAAGTATACGTTATTTTTTGTT